AAAAGTCTGGGATAAAAACTATCCTATATTCTTTCTCAAGGTCAACTCTGTATCTGTACCAAATTTCATTAAAATCAGTTCAGTGGTTTAGACGTGAAAGCGTAACAGACAGACAGAGTTACTTTCGCATTTATAATATTAGTAAATGAAAATTAATTTTTATTATATATAATTTTAGGTACTTTTAAGAGACACGATTGCTCAATTATCGAAAAGTCTGTAATACGACGTCAGAGAAAGAACAGGTTCAAAGTTAAGGTGTTAAAAGATTTTTATCCTACGATTATTGAAAGACGATGTAACTGTCGGTATTTCAGTTAATGGACTAATGTTAAGAGTATTCGATTATATGTATTTTATATTAAGAGTGAAAAGGATATATTTATTAAAAAATAATGTCTTTCTGTTTTCATGAAACGGAAAAGTTACGAAATTAAACATCTTTCTTTTATATCTCTTAGTACTAAACAGTGAAATCTAATGCCGATCGAAATCATAAATTACAAAAAAATTACTTAAACGAGAAAACAGTAATAATAAATTTAAAAAAATCTTCATAAAATACCACAAGACCCAACAATGTTTATATATGTTTAAAATAAGCCTGGGAACGTATATTTTTTTCCAAATTTTAAGTAAAATCACAAAACAAACATTTTTTTTAAATATTTCAATAGTACTTAACATAAAAATGTTCAAATATATTGATTGTAAATAAAATCTGTTTTACCGGTACACTCGATAGTTCAATGATCCAAGAGTGTGTTTGTCTTCTACTTGTGTTGCGTAACTCCTAACGGTATGCTGTTTAAGATAGAATCTTCGTTAATAAATATATATTCTTCTACCTGGCACTTTTCCAGCTTTAGCCAGGGTCTGCCTTACATGTTGTGAATAGTTTTAGCTAATTGTTTTTTACGACCGGCCGCCTGACATCAACCCTCTTTGGGAATGCATTAATCAGTGATGTCTAAATACTCTTAGAACGTACATAGATATGACTGGCAAATATCACATTGGTTCTTGCCAGGATTGAACCCGCGCCCTCGTGCACGAGAGGCGGGCCTTTTAACCACTAGGCCACCACTGATTTCATATATATAACATATAATAATTAATCGGGTGTCTATAATACATATATATGATATATTTTATAAACAATAGTATATGTGCAAAAAAATTAACTACCGTTAAATACTAATAGCTGTTCCAATAAAAAAGTCAGCAAAAAATCGTTAAAACTTCCAGTAAGTATCCTTAGTATGATTTTTGATAGTTAACGTAACTCAGACGTGTTCGTTTTTCATTCACAGACCTCATGACTGAATTGTAGGTCTTATATTAACGTTTAAACTATCAGTTTCTTGGTATAAAATTTTAACTAGTACTAAGAACACATTCCGATAACTTGTACGACGATTTCGTCAATACACTACATCTTGGAGTGACTTTGCCTGCGTCAGAGTGTTGAAATATAATTTTTTAACACATTTTTTTACATCCGAGATTATTTTTTAATTATAAAACATAGATTTTTCTTAACTACACCTATAATAATGAGATAATAATACTTTTAATAAAGTACTTCCCCATGAAACTTATTGAGTATGTAGTTTTTCACAAAAATAAACTGCGTAGTGCATCTTAAAAATATTAGTTCATTTAAATACAACTATAATAATTAAATTTACTTGAAATTATTCTCAAAATTTCTGATAGTATTTTGACAGTCTACTTTTTTCTCTTACTAAAATTTTCAATATTAAAAGATGTTAATTTTATATCATTCTTCTTCATAAAATTTCATAATATAAGTGTCTATCCGTTTTAGACACATTAGTTCAATTCGCACGTTCCGATGCATCTACAAAACAAGCTTTCTTCAATAGATGCGTTATAGGCTGAGAGCTGTCTAATAACTTTTAAGATTAGTGTTGAAATTATTTCAGTAATAGATTCTCGAAAGTTTTCGACAATAAAAATGTCTTTAAGTGTATTAAAAATAAATCTAATTTTTTCTTATATATTGAGAAAGTTATTGTATTTTTTTAGCTGAAATCTATAATTAAAAATAGTGTCTATATATATCTGTAATTAAACCAATTACCCATTGAAATATTTTCTTTTCAATACAAAATTATAATTCTTATTATTATGTTATAAATTATAAATATTTATATTAAATTCTATACGACATATAAAATATATAAAATAACTTAAAGAAAATATTTATATATCTCTCAAGAAAAATTAATAAGTATTGTTTTTATGAATAACTAAGGTACATGAACTTTGTGTTTATAGATGGATCAAGTTTCTTTACAAACACGTTGTGTGTCTGTTTGTGTGTTCGCTCCTAGACTACAGTCAATGCCAAGGTGCTCATATAAAAGGCCGATACATCTTGAACCACAAGAGGACGCGCCAAGAAGACAGACGTACGTACATACATATATATTATTTCTTAATTTAAAAGAAAATAATTTTTAATTATTAAATTTACATAGTTACGCATTATATTTCTTAATTTTTTATATTTTAGTATAAGTTTATCGTATTTATAGTATTTTACGATGCTTTAAAATAAACAAAAATTTAAATAACTGTCTATTTACATATAATTTATATAAAAAGTTTAAAATAACATAGTTTTGTGTTCAATATTTTGTTGATAATATTGAAATTTTCATAATTTTTTATTAAGTAATAAAATATATTTGGAAACCGAAGTTAACTTGCTGTATAAAATACAAAACTTTCATTCATTTAATTATTAATTCAAAATCAAAATAAACCAAAAGTCATTTTTTTCGCTCGTATTTATAATTTTCAGTATTTTTTTTTAAATCATTAATTTAAATTTAAAAAATTTTTAAAATAATGTATAGTACAATATTATTTAAATCATTTTTATAACCAATTCATCTTATTTTCGCTTTTTTTTCATATTTTTTTCTTAAACTATATTTTTTTTTACATAATTCTAAACTCTTCTTTACAAGCCATGTTTATTCCTTATTTTAACTGTAAATTCAAATCATACAGTTATATTTAATAGTTGTACGTCTTTGTATGAACAATGGTCGATAATATTAAAGATATTACTACGACCTTAGTACGAGTTAACAGTTAACTTTTAACTGAAAGTTTGACGTTAGTGCATACTTTATAATATAGCAAAGGTTTCGGTTCTTTGAAATTATAATATTTATTTAAATATTAATAAAATATACATATATGTATTACAATGGTTGACAACATAATAATTTTCTAAATATAAAGTTTGATGATTTCTTACTCGGTTTCGATACTTAAGAAACTTTTGTTAATCTATTTATGGATTAAAAATTAAATATATAATAATGATTAATAATATATATATAGTAATCAATGAAACAAAGGTTATTTCATTTAATTCACTATTACTTTATTTTTATATACATACTTCTTTTTTATGTTAAGGCTTCATTCCTACTGAAATCGTGGAATATTTTGTAAACGACTTTATTTGTTGGAAGAATTATAATATTAAGTATTGAGTTTTCTTATATACATAGTATTTTATATAAAAAAGAGAACATTGAATATCAAACAATTATACGAGATTTTCTTTTAAGAACCGCGCCCAAGTTTCAAAATGTATTGAAATCAATATTTTTATATATTACAAATAAATAATATATACATATAAGATATATTAAAAATATATATTTTTTCTGTTTTCTTAATAAAAATATTTAATAATTAATAATAAACAAGATGTTACAAGATCTGTTTTAACATACTCGTATCATTACAACATCGTCTGAGAGTCACTCCAATACAAACTTTGATTCCCTCATTCATTATTTTTAATGTAGATGAAATGAATTCATTTATTAAATGAAGTATATAAATCATTTTTAACTATATGTAAAAAATATATTTATATTATTTTTAATGAATTTAAGATATTTGTTTAAATCGCAATAAAAATACGCAATGATAAATATATTGACGCTTCCAAGATTTTCTATATATATTTATGTATAATGTATATAATTTTAATTTTTTTGTATTCATAATTATGATTTTATATTTGATTTCCATCGCTTTCTTAATTTTTTTCGCCTGTGTTTATGTTTTACGTGTATATATACGTATAAAGTTAACCATAATAATGTGTTATCAATCTCGTTAGACCGTGGGGTCAATTTTACAGTTATTTAAATAGTTAATGCATCTTCACCGTTAGCAAGCGTCTCCTCAATTACTGCTCAGACAACTTTCACATACTTCGATGCACTTTACTCGGCTTCTGGCTATAAACCTCTCAATTAGTATTATATTAAGAGAATTATTATTAAAACTGATTATGATATATTTCATCGTAAATTCGTCATTACAACGATGTTATAGTATCTTTAGTACATGCAGATTATGTATTATTTTGTATATATATACATATATATATCTCTTTTTAACTAATTTAATAGTTTTAAGTAACCCTTGTAGGCGACGTGTTAAGTAATGTAACTTGTAATAAAGCCTTACCTCGAGGTTGCTTAAAAGCTTTGTTTCTACCATACTTCTTATTTTATATTATATTGTGAAACCTAACTTTTAAGTCACGGATTGACCATATTTTAGAAATTTTCTTCGAATAAAAAATAATTTATAAAAATTTATATGTTAATATAGATTAAATATATTTTGAATTTTCCTTTATATAATTTTATTATTAAATCTACCGTAAGCTAGAACTAAATCCTTTTTTCAGTAGTTTTTCTATATGAAATCCGAATAGACTTAGAATTTCAAGCTAGCACGAGGTTTGGCTGTTACTTTAAAATTGGTCTATTCAAATTACTTCCTCTGAAACTACTGAACTACTACAAAATACTTTTCTGTTTTATAAAATTTAATGAAGGCCTCGGAGATTTTGAGATAATATTTATACTACTGATTAGATCTATAATATATTTAATTACATTTTTCTTTGGTTTCAGAATTAATTAGAGATGGCGAGAATCAATCTCAGTAGACTTCTAGTTTTGTTAGCTATAGCCCAATATGGAGGGGCAAGTGACATTTTTCGAAGTAAGTGTTTTATCTACTCAACAACAGAGGTCGCTACGTCAGTTGTTTAATTTATATTCTTTAAACAAATCACGCTAAATTCTAAATAATTGCGAGAAATCAATATTAATTTATTATTACTGCATACTAATAAGTATTTCTTTGTTAAGTAAATTAATTTATCGTATCTAGCGCCATCTTCGATCAAGTTAATAAAATTTGAAAGTCATTCCACAAATATGCCTAGATGGTTCTTTTGCCCTTGTTTTCTCCTTAGTTTTAGTTATGTAAATAGTTAATAGGTGGCGCAATAATAAACTCATAGTTTCAAGCCATATCTAACAGATGTCACTTTTGGTAAAAAGTTATATTTCACATTTTTTCTCTGTTTCCAGCACCCAGACAATCGGGTCCAGGTGGTATATTCACTATAGGTAATGGTGAGCAGTGCTTGGGAGCAGACAGATCCACGGGCGGCGTGTGTCTGTCAAGAAACCAATGTAATACTCAGGGAGGAAAAGCGATCGGTTTCTGCGGAGTATTCGCTACGTGTTGCTCTTGTAAGTATATTTATAATATTTTATCTTGAATTATGTAGGGTGGCAACCGGAGGTTCCAGAAAAAAGCGAAATTTACTTATATGTATATTATAAAAAAAAATTATATAATAAAACATAACCTATACCTAAGACTACATGATTGTCCCGATGTTATGATAGCAATACCATTCCATAGCGTGTGTGTTATCAGGAATCTTCTGGTTCACACGCTTGGTGTTCGTTCCGCGGAGTCAGCGGCGTCACTTGTTATAGTATATGTATTTTATCCATACAACGATGTTGCCCCGGCGATATTTATATATTTTTAATATGTAGCGTACTTAACAATTGGTATAACACAAAAATAAACAAATTCGGTTCTTCTGCAAGACATATTTTAATTCATAACATATTCCAATCAGTGAATGCTTGCGACGTGAGGACTAACACGAAGGTGGCCGTCTTCATCAATCCACCTCTGAACAAGGAGTCTTCGGGTCTGGAGTGTTCTTACAACGTGGAAATAAACAACAACAACGTGTGTCAAATGAGAATTGACTTCGAGACATTCAACCTGGCGCCGCCCACCACCGTCAGTATATATGAACACATCTTAAAATATTATAAGAAATATAATAATGTTATATCAAAGTCAAAATACATAGCAAAAAATTACGACCGGCTCAAACATATCTCTATCTTTTAAATATACTTAAACTTTTATCACTAAAATCGTGGTGGCCTAGTGGTTAGAGGCCCGCCTCTCGTGCATGAGGGCGCGGGTTCGATCCTGGCAAGTACCAATGTGATTTTTCCGTGTCATATGTAATGTCTAAGAGTATTTAGACTCCACTGACTGATGAAAGAAAACATCGTGAGGAAACCTGGACTTATAATTTCACTATTATAAGTCTGAAATCACCAACCCGTCTTGAGCAAGTGTGGTGATTAATGCTCAAACCTTCTCCATGTGAGAAGATTTTGCTCAGCAGTAGGCTCTGATAGGCTGATGATGATGATAAAACTTATCTATATCTTTAAACTGTTCTGAATTATTTCATAGACTAATCTAATAACCTAATAATAGTCATGTTAATATATGCAGGTGGATCCAGTAGAGAACGTTACTCATCGCCCAGGTTACGTCTGCAAGAACGACATCTTCCAGATCACTAACCTGCAAGCAAACTCCGACCTGCTGCCTTCACTGTGTGGTGACAACAACGGACAACATTGTAATTATCCCTACTAATATTATAAATGCGAAAGTAACTCTGTCTGTCTGTCTGTCTGTTACGCTTTCACGACTAAACCACTGAACTGATTTTAATGAAATTTAGTACAGAGATAGAGTTGACCTTGAGAAAGAACATAGGATAGTTTTTATCCCAGACTTTTGAAAGGTTCTCTTGGAAACGCGATATAACCGAACTCCACGCGGGCGAAGCTGCGGACGAAAAGTTAAAGTTTAGAAACTGTTAATTTGCAATAATTGCAATATTTGCAATAATTTAAAATTTGCAAAATTGGATGTTTTAATAATTAATTACTAAAACTAATGTAATGTGTTGTGTTTCTTTGAATAAATAAGATTATTCATAGTTTAATATTTCAAATTAAAAATTACATTCGCAAACGTTGGCAGAAGGGACACAGTAGTCTAAGAGCCATTCAGGAGGAAGATTATCTAATTACAAGTACATACTATTTAAAGTCTAAAATAAAGTAGTGACAGTGTTTGTGAGTGTATTAATAGTTAAATGAAAATGGAACTTGGATAAGATGAGTGTTGAAAACAGTGATTTTGGAAAACATTTCTTAAAAATCAAATACGACAAAGTTTTTAGACATATATATTGCTTAATATAAAGTACCAATTTCAGGTCTATTTAGTTGATTCTCTATTCTATTCCATTTATGTTTACAAATAATAAGCTTTTTATTAGTTTCGTATGTAAGAAACAAAAATTCTACGTGTTTTTTTCGTGTTTAAGAGATGTTATCATATAGTCCATGTTTGTTCTTAGATAATACGAGTATAATCTTTGACTAGATGTGTAGCTACTGTTTCTAATATTTCTATATCATCTTTTATCATTTTCAGTGTACGTGCGAGTGAACGCCACAACCAATTCCCGGTCAATCCGTCTGAACTTCAAGTTGGCTGATCGCGTCTCTCAACCTAATCTTCCTCAGGCCACGTGGAAGATCAAGGTCACTCAGTTGGAGTGTTTTAACACCCTCGGGTAAGTTATACACGTACTACAAGTACTACAAGTTACAACTATACTATACGAAGAAGAATAGTATTACTAGAATTCAGGGGATCACGATTCATGAGTTTCAATGTTTTACACGATTGATGATGATTTGGCAAAATATTGAAAGTGTACTAACGAAGAAAAGTAAAATTATTATTATTATTTATATCTGACTAATGCATTTTATATGGTATTAAATTAAAAAAAAATATTAAAAAATATTACCATGTTAGTCACGATAGAATTATAATGAAGAACATAATTTCGAGCAGCCATATTATTGTTCTCACTTCTCAATAATTATACATGGTATAATAACTAAATTATTTCTTTGGACAGAAATCTATATCAGCTGATTCCTATGAATAAGCGCCACCAATGATCTTTGCAACTATTAGTAAAGTCGTCAATACCTTATAATTAATACGTTTGTTAACTTATTGAGGTTTTTATTAATGTATTTAATTATATTTCCTTTTGCTTCCAGTAAATACCGCGATGGTATCTTGGACGCCATTACAGCGTCACTTCCAGCGACGCCCTTCTCGTCAACAGCAGACAGAGACGAGTATTTAATAGGTAAGACAAATGTACTTAAAATATATTTAAATAGAGAGAAATAGAAAGAAACCGGATAATACAACTCTTTCATATCACTAACAGAAACAATTTATTATATATTCTTATAATAATTTTAAGATATTTAATAAATGTTTAACATTTTTCGAACTAGATTTTGTGTGTTAATGAAACGACAATTACCAATGATTATTTCAATGAAACTAATATTTTTCGGATATACTACTTAACTACAATATTATTGAATAAAATTACCTATTATTATTAAATAATAAGACCGACTGACAGACATTCACATCTCATCTGTCCATGATCACGGTAGTTGGAAAGTAACTTTAACGTCGGGAGTCGTTATGTAGCTTTTCACAAACAAAATCGCGTAGTATATCCGAAAAATATTAGTTTCATTTAAATGAATAAAACTCGCGGGTCTTAGATCTCATTATAGTTTATACCAAAGATTATCTGCAGAGAGTTTTACAGTGTAATATATGATGTGTTTGTGTGTGTGTAGCCCCGCCCGGCTGTCTCCAGTACTATCCCGACCGGGCCGGTTTCTTCGAGTCTTTCAACTACAATCGAGGAGCTGGTCCTTACATAGCCAACCTCGCGTACGCCACATGCTTCAAGAGGACATCTGACGTTTGTGGCATCAAGTAAGTAGTTATTTATTACTTATTCATTTGTATCAACAACTACTAATAAGTTAAAAATTAAATAAAAAAACATTGTCCAGCGGACAAAATTGTGAATCTAAACAATCTAAACAATTCCCAGATCCCCTTGAACACACAAAAAATTTCATCAAAATCGGTGCTGTCGTTTGAGAGAAGTTCTAGGACATACACACTCACAGAAGTATTATATATATAAAGATACGTTAGTAATTCCTTTTCCCTCGTATCAGACTAACAGCAGCCAGTTTCGACATGGCGTATCACGATGATTCCAACTTGTACCTGGACACCGACTGCCAAATGAACCCCGTCACTCAAGGCCTCACGTTGTCTGAAGACTACCTCTTCATCCCAGAAGCAGAAACCGCTGATGGTCTAAGAGGCTCCAAGTTCTGTGGCTCCAGTGCATCCAATCAGATCATTGCTTGTGAGTTATTTACTTCTTTTTCTACCTAGCAATTTCCCAGCTATAGCCAGTCTGCCTTAGATGTGTGAATAGTTTTTGGCTAATTGTTTTTACGACCGTCCGCCTGCCTGACATCAAGCCTCTTTAGGGAATCAACTCAGACTTATTTACTATCGGATCTTAATATACTTTGGTAGTATTTATTTCGTCATTATATTAAACCTCCTTCTATTTATTTTTTTATTTTTTTCAAACTAATGCTTATTTCGTTTGTCTGACTTCTGATATAGTAAATTTATAATAAATTTGATTATAGAAACTCTTGGATTGTAAACAATTTTAGTTCTTATTTTTAAATATTCAAATATTTTTTAAAATATAGTAAATTTATTCTTATTTTTAGATAATAGAAACTCTTGGATTAATTTTTTTAATATTCAAATACTGTGTTATATGTATATATTATCTGTATTATATATTTATATCTCCAGCGACGCCCCCCGGACCTCTCTACGTGTACTTCCACAGCGACAACCTCGTGACGCAGGACATCAACGAATCAGGCTACAGGTTCAATTACAACGTGCTCAATAACTGCTATCTCAATAAACGCAATTAGAGCGCCAACCTGTCACTACTGACAACTGTCAATGTCAGTGACAGATACGTAAATGTCAGTGACGTTTACGTATGTAACCTCTTTGCAACAGTTTCGTAATGGCCAGACTGATTTAATTTAAAATTTATTAATTCCAGCAATGCATTTATAAAATAAATATATATTTTAAGTTATTTATTGCATTTTTATTTTTATTTTAACACCACCGTAATGTTACCCAAAATCAGTATCGGTCTTGCAGATCAAGACCGATTGTGGGTGGTAATTTTAGCAAGACCAAGAACAAGACTGACTATGCAAGTTTTAAGCAAGACTCTTGCGTCTTGCAGTTAGTATTGAGGGTAGCTCAGGGAGTAAGTATAGGACTTCAGGATATAAGATTAGGGACTCTATGAGACGCAAAAAAATAGGATGTTTTTCGGAAAATTGGACGTATCAGAGTTACGAACACTACTTACAATAAACGTACATAAAGTATGAAAATATTCATTTAAAGAAAAAAGTGTGCATCCCTTGTTAATATGACCATCGGAATTATGTGTGATAGTGAGGGGTCTCATAGAAATTTGGCAACTATTCGGAAGAACAAGGTCAAGATACACGCGCATAATATTTAACACTTTGATTGCCGCCACAGAGTACAAGTATTCCAAAGAATAAAATAAATTTTCGGGTGCTTTAAATGGATATGAATACGTTATGCTGATCTATTGTGTGGTTTTAAAATACAAAGTCACCCATTTAATATATATTATATTATGGATACTTTTAATACACTTCAAACGTATAAAAAATACTATAATAGTAATCAAATAATATAAAAAGCGTACATTAAGATTTATATACTGTTTAGGAGCCCGAATAAAATAATATATGAGAGAACTGTTTAAATAAATAAATTTATATACTGACTGTTGCATCACGATATATTTTTGCATATAGGTATTGTTTGATCTTTCCCATGGCCATGTTAATTCAAGCTCAAAATATAACTACTTTTTTGTGTTGTACTAATATCTAAAGCAATGTTTAATAAATAGCGCCAAGCACTACGTTTAAGGTAAATGCAAGACTTGCGAGACTCTTGCGGCAACACTACAACAGCCCAATACGTCTTTGCATATATTTTTTAATATCCAGAATTAAAACTACGTAGGAATTTAATGAAAAATAATAAAAATTACAAAAAGAAATATTTTTATTTCGATGTAGTTCAAGTTTAATAAAACCTTACAACACTTAACACTAAACAGAGACATCAAAATATTAATTGCAACATGCAATTTGCATAAATTGCAAGATGACTAATAAATTCAAAATATAAATGAATGTGATGAAAATAATTAATATAGTACACTAAAAATAAACGTAATATCCATCCATATAAATGCAATTCATTTAAAATATATGAATTATATATTTACATTTATATACTTCTTAATATGTATTATATAATAAAATTGTAACATTTTAAATGCAGTCTTATGTACAATTGGACGGACCTATTATATTAAATACTTATTAATAATCTTTATATATAATGTTTATTCCAATCATTTAAAAAAAAATCATACACTTACATATATTATTTTCATGTTTTTACCTTAAAATATAATATATGAAATTGTTTATATATTTAAGGTAGTTTATAAGTTTCAATCACATATATAGTAATGTAGCTTTATATTATCATATTGAATGATTAGAGAATTTTTATTATATATAAATATGTTATTTTCTATATAAATATTAATTATTCATTGTCTGTAGAAGGTAGGTCCCCTGCTGACTGTGTATGTGGACAGCGGGATGCCTTTGGTTCCATATATTGGTTCAGCGTTCTCATATTCAACATCGTAGTAGATGCCCGTCTGATTCTGTAACATGTATTATATTAAATTAAATATATAAATTTTCCATCTCAAGTAACTTAAAAATAAATAAAAACATTATCTCATGTGGACCCAACACTGCCCTAACATATAATCAAGAGAATTAATGTGATTTCTAAAAGTTATATGATGTACCTAGGTCATAATTTTTATTAGTTTCTCAACTTGTTAATTAATTATTATTTATCAATCATCCAACATGGCTCTATCTTCTATGGTTATCCAGATTCTTAACATGTTCAGTGGGTCCTATTTTTGTGTAAGAATATACTGAGTCATATTTATTGTATACCTATATTTACAATATCTTCTCCAAAGACCAAAAACAATTTTTGACAGAAACAAAGCTTCCAATTTGCTATTAATATAAAGTACACACTCTATCTACTGACATGTTATACAATTTGAACATCACAACAAACAAAACTATGGAACTACTTCATATATAGCAGCTGAAGAAGACAAAAATATTTCCAAACATGACTAGATGTATTTAATCACCTATATGGACTATCCTAGAGTTTCCCTCATCATTAACATATATGACACGAAACCTCTCATCAATCCATGTATTCACGGTACGTGTGTCGGATTCATCGTTGTAGTGAGAGGAGCTTCAATAGTGACTAGAACTTGCGACCCAGGTTCAGGTTTAAGGGACCCTATCTAACGCGTTAAACGTTCACCTCCACCGTACAAGATCCTCTCTCTACCAAATTTGAAAAGAACCTACTAGGGCTGCCTTCGATGTACGTTCCAAGTATGCATTAATGTGAGTTCTGGACAATCCCAAGTCTTTTAGTAGGTTGTAGAGAGATTTAGCTGTTATACCTCTCATATGTATATATATGTTGTTATACTCACATGCATACTCCTCGCTCTTGACTTAGGTCTGGGCACCAGTAAGTCAGCTCTCTCCTGCACGTGACTGGAAGCTTCCGAACTAGACTCGGATGCCAGGTGATTTGTGTAGCCTGTAACATACATATATAATCTAATATGGAGAGAAAGACGTGTATTATAGCGTTATATTTCTTTTATTCTCTTATTAATTTCGTACTAATCACTACAGATTAAATAAAACCTGGGGTGACGAATGTTAACTATGTTATAAGTTTAAGTTAGCAATGTTCAAATAATAATTGTCTTGTTGAGAATAAAGATCTTTTATATTATGTTTTTTGATATATTTAGTTGGGTTACATTTGTTGTGTACATTTATATTTAATTTGATTTTTTTATAGCAATATAGAAAAGGAAATTAATACATTCTTATGTATGGGATTCATTTATTACTACATGACATGTATGTAACAAACTACATGTATACACGAAATCCATTCTTTACACATGTCCCTATGTTTTCCTTACCATATATATATATATATGACAACTAACTAATATGTCAATCATTCTGTCGCACTTCAAAATACGGAGATTTATGGCTTACAGGTAAACTCCAAAAATATAAATAAAAAAACGTAATAGATATTTCTTGATTATAGGGCGATACGAAGTTCGCCAGGTCTTCTAGTATATATATACTAGAAGACCTATATATATATATATATGTCCTACCGTATAAGTGTGAGGCGTTGTTAGCTCGAGACGTCACAGTATTCAGAGTGCCCGTGTGAACTCCGTGCATGCCCATCCTGGAATAAAAACAAACATCATTAATATATATATCAGACTAATAACTTTTTTTGTCCACTGAATGCTGTCTATCTATCAATAAAAATAACTTACACCTATACAGGGTGACTGGTGAATTACTATCGATAATTGAGGACGTGATATTTGACGATCATATTTGACAAAATAAAAATTAATATAACTTAAATATTAATAAACTTCTAAGTAAAGTTAACCAAAAGTTATGTAATTAATTACGCATCGTGTGAACACCCTACAGATTAGGTATACACACACACACGCGTGCGGCGGCGTGGTGTTGTATCAGCACGCCGCCGCACGCGTCCACACTTGGAACACTTGGAACGTGTCAACACTATATTTATTTATACGGAAATTTGGTCAAAAATCAAGTACCTATTTTTTTCACATAATTCGAATGAGAATCATGTACCGAGTATTCTCCTTAAATATTGATAGTATTTCACCAGTCACCCTGTATATTTCAGTGGCATGCAGCATTGCTTAATTTGTAATTATTTAGAAAGTGAAACTTACTATGTGACTTCCAACAAGGTTGCTTTAAACGTTTAACGCTCCGGGGAGGGGGGATGAAAAAAGACAGAATAAGAGGGAGTGCGTGCATGTAGGCAATCAATAGTGACTTTTAAGTAATGTTAATAAAGGTTATCTTAAAGAAACACTAATAATTAATTAAAAATCAATATCTAAACCTTGCTTTTCATTCAAATATTAGGAAGTTTCACTTCTATTAATAACATATACATGAATTATATGTGTTATATATTATATGTTATCATAGTATATCTTACCTAGGCAGCGGTACCGGAGGCAGCGTGGGGTAACCGAACATAGCTGATGAGGGACGGGTGGCCATGCTTTGAGATGGGTCGCCCTGTGGAGTAAAATACATCATATATATGAATATGATAGAAAAACATTATATATATTTTTCTAAGGATATAGTAATTAACATATACGACTAAATGGAAAATTATACATGGATAACTGACTCTTGTACATATTATTAAATTACTATTACATCTTTTCTTATCATTTAAGAAATAGACATACATACTGAATATTCACTGTGTGTATATATATCTAGAGAGAGAGTTTAGAAATTTAAGAACCAAAAAATATTTTGCAACATGATTTATTTAATTAGCAAAATTAAATTACTTTATAGTTCATCTTGAATTGCAAAAAGGAACAGAAAGACGCTAACATTAGCTGTCTAATATATAGGATTTAATATGGTTGTGTCCCATTTCCTATAGAGATTCATATATATATACTATAAGTCCCGGGGAACTTCGTATCGCCCTATAATCAAGAAATATCTGTTACGTTTTTTATTTACATTTTTGGAGTTTACCTATTAAAGCCATAGAACTCCTTATTTTGAAGTGTGACAGAATGATTGACATATTAGTTAGTTGTCAAATCTAATGTCAATAAAAAAAACGTTTGTATCAACAACTAGGTACTAATAAATTTAAAATTAATGAAAAAAACATTGTCCAGCGGACAAAATTGTGAATCTAAACAATTCCCAGATCCCCTTGAACGCACACCAAAAATTTCATGAAAATCGTTGCAGTCATTTGAGAGAAGTTCAGTGACATACACACTCAGAGAAGAATTATATATATAAAGATTTATAGTTACCCCGTAATGGTTGGCTTGTACCATAGCTTCAGCGATGGTAGCCCACCTCATCCTATCTTCTAAGGTCAGCTGGTAGGGAGGCTGACCCACTGGGGGGGTCTTCATGGTGTTAGCTGCCATGAAACTAAACACGGGAGACCCCACGCCTAGGGCCTTCTGCTCGCGGGACCACTTGCGACTGGAATGTGAATTATTTAATCATTAATTTATTTATTTACTAGCTGCGTGTTAGCCGGATTTCCGGGTTATAAAGTAGCCTACGTGTTATTCCTAAACGTCAGCTTCATGTATACAAAATTTTATCAAAATCGCTTCAGCCGTTTGAGCGTGATGAAGTAAAAAAACATACACACACAAACTTTCGCAGTTATGATATTAGTAGAATTTATTTATTCATTTATGATGATGGGTGTGTACTCAGGAAGTAATGTATTCAGTATTGGAATTATTTTATTTTTTTAAAGACAAACTCTTCATGTTTCGGTTATCAGCATGTGATCACCGTTACTGTGAAGTAACCGAAACTACGGGAGTATGTTGATGTAAAATATTAATATTGTGTTGTAATATGAAAACATTAGTTTCATTTAAATTAATATTAGTTAAAATCTTAGATCTCATAAATGAATTAATTTATATACATATTGTAACGTTACCAGACATAGTATTATATATTTATGTATGCGACTAATGTTGTATACTCTGTACACGTGTGTGTGTGTGTGTCTGTCTGTATGTCTGATTTTATGTGTGTGTGTGTGTACCTCCAGCTGAGTAATGCCGCCAGTGTGATAGCTATAACGAGTGCAGCAGCCAGAGACGCTCCCACGGAGACTCCTATGACCTCGCCGTCCATCTCACACGTGGAGCCGTAGTAACCTGACGAACATCTGGAAATATACATACATAGATATAGATAGATAGATTAGAAGATTATAAATAAGATGTGTTCATAACATTCATAGGATATAAGTATATATTATATTAATTAATAATAAATTAACGCCTATAATTTAATGATTTACATAAATTTCACCCAACTTTTTTTCACCCAATTTTTTAGTATCTATCCTTTAACATGTTCTCTAAGCTGTATAATGTATAATATATATTATATATTCGTATTACTAGCAATGTAATGAGATAAATAATTGAGTTTTTGAATTATTTTTTTTTTTTTGTGATAAATGGAAAGATCATATATAAGTTTTATAACAAAACTATTTTTATTTTATTTTTTTTTGCAATAATTAACAAGTTATTTCAAAATAAAAATAAATTTTTAAATTCAGTACCGAAGATCCGCCGACAGCTCGCGAATAAACCCGAGCGCGTGTGACGTCACAATGTTAGTTTTTGCTCATTGTAGCATACAGAGATATAATAATTAGTACAGGGTTTTGAGTTTTTATCTAGTAAATTCTGTTGGCATTGTTAAATAATCAAAAATGTCAAAACTCAAAAGTTATCGCTCTTGTTTTGTACCATTATGTACAAATACTACAAAAACAACTCCTGAAAAAATGTTTTTAAATGTTCCACAAGACGAAAAACGTCGAAAGAAATGGTTTCAAGCAGTGCACCGAGATTATTCAAAAACAAAAGCAATTTTTTTTTGTTGTGAAGATCATTTCGTTGTAAGTATTCATAATAATATTGTTATTAATTATTATTTATCTAAGTGTATAAATCGAATAAGTATAGTTCAGTAATTATTTTTTTCACCTGGGCTCCAAATCATAACCTTTAGAATCGTAGCATTAAAAAAATTTTAATTGATAATTCAAAGCGATTAAATAGTAAATCTATATGTATGTTTGTCTAATAATTGGAATTCAATTAATAGATATTTTCATAATTTTATAACATTCTAGGTTCTGTATCAGACTACATTTAAATTTTTAAAGTATATGTTATTTTGGTTTTTTATAATGTGATAATAACATTTTATTAATAATGATTTAATGAATAAATTCTTATTTTCATTTAGAATAGTATTTTTTAACAGACTTACCTTGATGCCTTAGCACCTCGAACTTCAGCAGAATTAAACCGAACGTCATTTTTTATACATCAACATTAGGAATATATCAACATCAGGAATATTATCCGATTTTGCTTTTATAAATCCTTTATCACACATAGTTAGTGGAAATAAACTTTTCAAATCGTTTTTCACTAATAAATTTGAGATATTTTTATCAAGTCAAAGATAATAGCCATAAACACTGTACTATTATGAAATTGCTTTAACATTATGACGTCACAAGTATGGCGACCAATCATGGCGCGTTTACAGTCACATGATTTTGTTTTGAATTTTATCAATTTTTAATTGTTAATAAGTTATTAAAAAAATTTTTTTTCAAGTTTTTTGCATTAAGAATCAATATAATTAATAATAAAGTTTTAAAATACATAAAAAAAATCAATACTTTTTTTTTCAAAAACCCAATTGAATTGACACTTATACAGGGTGACTGGTGAATTACTATCAATATTTAAGGAGAATACTCGGTACATGATTCTCATTCGAATTATGTAAAAAAAATAGGCACTTAATTTTTGACAAAATTTCCGTATAAGTAAGTAAAGTGTTGACACGTTCCAAGTGTTCAAGTGTGGACGCGTGCGGCGGCGTGCTGATACAACACTACGTCACGACACGCGTATGTGTGTGTGTGTGTATACCTAATCTGTAGGGTGTTCACACGATGCGTAATTAATTACATAACTTTTGGTTAACTTTACTTAGAAGTTTATTAATATTTATGTTATATTAATTTTTATTTCGTCATATATGATCGTCAAATATCACGTCCTCAAATATCGATAGTAATTCACCAGTCACTCTGTATATTAATCATATACATTTCACCCAACTCTTTCATAGTTTTTATATCTATCCTATATACAGGGTGTTCACTGATCTATATACTATATATTATACAGTATGTTTTCTCATATGTATGTATGTATGTTCTCACGTGCAATACGGCTGTCCGTTGTTATAATGACATAGTCCTCGGTCGTTACAGTGTGAGGGCGAGCACGAGCGACACTCACGACCCGAGCGACTGGCTACTGTAGCTGGGTCGAGGGTTGTATTGGGGCACGTACATCTATAAAGAAATATAAACATATCTTTATATATATAATTCTTCTGTGAGTGTGTATGTCACTGAACTTCTCTCAAACGACTGGACCGATCTAGACGAAATTTTTTGTGTGCGTTCAAGGGGATCTGGGAATGGTTTAGATTCACAATAACATCCGCTGAACAATGTTTTTTTAATTAATTTTTAATTTATTAGTAGTTGTTGATGCAAACTTTTTTTTTGACATTAGATTTGACAACCAACTAATATGTCAATCATTCTGTCGCACTTCAAAACACGAAGATTTATGGCTTTAATAGGTAAACTCCAAAAATATAAATAAAAAAACGTAACACATATTTCTTGATTACAGGGCGATACGAAGTTCGCCGGGTCTTCTAGTATATAGTATATATAGTAATATAATATCAATTTTGAAGGTGGCCCAGTGGTTAAAGACCCGCCTCTCATGCATGAGGGCGCGGGTTCGAAACCTAGCAAGTACCAATGTGATTTTTCCGAGTCATATGTAGTTTATAAGAGTATTTAGACATCACTGACAGATGAAGGAAAATATTGAAGGAAACATGGACTTATAATCTTCTATATATATAAAAATGGATTGCTGTTCCTTAGTCTCGCTAAAACTCGAGAACAGCTGAACGGATTTATCTTATCTTAGTCTTGAAATGTTCGTGAAGGTTCAGGGAAGGTATAAAAGCTGAAAAAAAATTGATTCATTACTGGGAAAACCATAAAAACAGCCCTTTTCTATTTCCCATACAAACGTTTTTTTTTGACATTAGATTTGACAACTGATATGTCAATGATTCTGTCGCACTTCAAAACACGGAGATTTATGGCTTACAGGTAAACTCCAAAAATATAAATTTAAAAAAAGTAACAGATACCTATTTCTTGATTATAGGGCGATACGAAGTTCGCCAGGTCTTCTAGTCAAATTATAAGTTTGTAATAACCAATCCGTCTTGAGCAAGCGTGGTGATTAATGCTCTAACCTTCTCCATATGAGAAGAGGTAGCTCAGCAGTAGGCTCTGATAGGCTTATTATTAATATTTGACAGTTTACATAAATGTATTTTATCAATAAAGTTATATATTTTAGTATAATTTGTATAGTCAATATAATTATCATACTTAAAAGCCCCCCAGGTGTTGGTGCAGGTCGCCAGTGTGTGACAGTCGTTGAGCTCTGGAGACGAACACTCGTCTACATCTGGAAATATACATATATAAATATTTATTAGCATAGTGTTTCCATTTAAATTAAAAAATAAAATAAAATTTGTTTATTTTGCTTATACCTAGATACAACAGATACTTTTATAAAGAAATATAGAAAAACTAGTAACAAAAACTATAGATACGTACTATGAGTAGCAAAACAATTATACTATACTAGTTTTTGTCAGCGACTTCGCTCGCGTTAATTTTAGTACATATTAGTAATATATGTATAGCTGAGCATGCGAATTCTATTACGCCTTAGAGGCCGTGAATAACCTCATTTGGGATATTTTATAGTATTTTTTCTTTTTCGATCAAACAGTATTAAATATCCTATGTCCGTCTCCTTGTTCTAATCTATCTCTTCACCAATGTTCAACCATATCCGTACAGACGTTTCTGACATATAAATAGTGTAACTAACACGACTTTCGTTTATATATAACATACCCTTGACATGCGTCACACTGCCCTCGGGTGTCACCCACAAGGCTGACGCACCCACGTTGTTGGACCGTCGACGGATGACACCCACCAGGTGCTGCTGGATGTCACCCGCCACCGACTGACGGACAGTCTCCGGGGTCTCTGATAGCTGGGAATAGTAGAGTATATTACATATATAGATTTGTATGAAATGAAACATGAAATATTACAGATACATGGAGAATTATATTAATGATATCTGAGAATTTTATAAATATTAATAGAAATTAAACTTATATTTTCGGATACTACACGTTTTTTTTATTATTTTATACTACATAATACTGACTTTTCGGTTGCTTTAACAACGACCGTGATTATGGGCACACGAAATGCATATTTTGACGGTAGTTATAAAAACAATACAAAAAGACGTATGTAGTATCCGTAAATAATAGTTTTTTTAATCAAAACATCAAATAATTATCCAATATAGAAGACATATGATAGGATATGTTAATGATATGATAATGTCATGATACTCACCAATATAGTAAAGTTAACATACACCCCGGGGTGCTGCGCGTCCCCCTTCACTATGGAGTTCACTGACCCGCTCACGAAGTCATCAGAGAATGGGGTCATGGAAAACGCTGAGTCGATCTACAACACATACATAAAAAATATATGTTAATATATAATATAATACATAATATAGTAGACATGTGACCGGTTAAAATTTGGGTGTGTTTATAAATAGTCTAAATCAGTCTTTCCCAAAGTGGGATTAAAAAAGGGAGGGGGTAGAATAAGTTATAGTAGTTTTTCAATAGATAAAAAAGCGAGAATGCTAAATAATATATGTATTATTCTCAAAGTAAGTATGTCATAGATAATATTTGGGAACCTCTGGTTTATAAATAGTTATATATACATATATGTTTGTTGGTGTGTACTAACCGCTTTAACAGCTTCGTAGCTGAGCTGCTGGTACGGCTCCGACTCCTTGTCTGATAACTTGTCGTCCCACGAGATCTGATGGAGAAATAACATCATGACAAACACGTGGATACATGAAGCACGGAGATTTAATGTATGAGAAATATATTCAATTAGCTTTCCGCCCGCAGCTTAGCCCGCGTGGAGTTCAGTTATATCGCGTTTCCAACAGAACCTATCAAAAGTCTCAGATAAAAACTATCCTATGTTCTTTCTCAAGATTAACTCGATCTCTGTACCAAAATTTATTAAATTCAATTCAGTGGTTTAGACGTGAAAGCGTAACAGACAGACAGAGTTACTTTCACATTTATAATAATAGTAGGGATTATTTAAATATATATTACATACTCATAAATAGTGAATCAATATGGGAAGTTTTTACAATGTGTGTGTCACTGAATATCAATCATAACGTAAATCATAATGACATCAATTATAGTGATAAGTTCATCTATATTGGTTGTTATATATTTAGTTAGTTTGTTTTTACATCCGTAACAATAAATGTCGCTATCGGCTACTTAAAGAACTTATTATTCTATATCATTCAATCCTTTCTGGTGGTATTTAAGGTTGGAAACGGACAAAATCGCTCGTGAGATAGCACTGGTATATACTCGTATAAATACCGGTGCTGTTGGCATGAATGACAGATATGCAACATGAAAATAACGGGTCTGTCATCAATTATTATTAAAACTCATTAGTATTCATTATTATTGTTAAAATTAAATCAAAGACTGTTTAAAAGTAGAATAGAACTATGTTTCAATTTTGATATAAATACGACATTAGGAATTTATTTGAAGAATGTGATTACGAAGAACCTTTCAGAAATATAAGATTTTAATCAGAAGTGGAGCTTTATTTAACAATATTATAGAACGTTTTGAAAGAAGTGGCATTAGTGACGACACTCATACTGACGTCACTCTCAGTAACAACGAATTTGTATTAAATCCGATACATCCCTACTAATATGATAAATGCGAAAGTAACTCTGTCTGTCTGGTACGCTTTCACACCTAAACTACTAAACCGATTTTAATGAAATTTGGTACAGACAGAGTTGAGCTTGAGAAAGAACATAGGATAGTTTTTATCCCAGACTTTTGAAAGGTTCTCTTGGAGACGCGATATAATCGAACTTCACGCGGGTGAAGCTGCGGGTGGGAAGCTAGTTATATATATATAATGTATTATAAGTAGCACCACCTGTCGGTCGTACAGTCGATCCACTCTCAGCGACACTAGCAGCGACACGGCGCGGCGACACGGTGACTGACGCTCACGACGACCCGTGCCCGCGCGACACTGACAGCTCGATACACCTGGGGGGGAGAGGTGGATCAGTGTGACGTCACTAGGGAGGGCATACTACTGATAATGATAGTAGTGAGGCTAACATCAGATATTTTGTTATCGTAATACTTTAGAGCCATTTGTAACATGTTTATAAAGAACACGCCATCTACCGTAAGTGAAACTTGTTATAGTTAATCGTAAATAAGGCATCCACGACCCAAGTTCGCTTAGTGTGGACGCCCCTGGAAATCGCGCCATGTTATCACTTCAGCAAAATATTGTTGTTTGTAATTGTGTTCCCTGTTAACATTGAGTCATTGCTGGTAATAAAGTATTTTTCATTTTCATTTTTCATTTTCAATAGGTATGAATGGATGAATGTTTAAATTGTATAGCTGTAGACCAATAGATACTACTGCCATCTATCATAGAATAATTGGTTCTCATAAAAATAAACTTAAAACAAATTCACATTACTTTATGTGATAAACAAATAATTAACTAGTCAGTTATTACACGAGTACTGTTCTTGTTAATCAGCAAGGTATATGTTTTTTTAAAGCATGCTAGGTTTACATCCAGAAGACTGCCTTAATGACACTCTGTTTAGCTTAGATTTTATTTTTGTTTGCACTAGTTTTGTAAATAAAAATATATATATATCATTGAGGATATGTAAAATGACCTTCAGTATCAAAAATCAGTGTGTTTAAATAGATTGTGGTTTAATTAATGCATGTATGTATGTCTTTACCAGCCTCCGTCCTACACTTCTCGTTCTGGCTCTGGTCGCAGGTAGAATCATCGCCTACGATGCAGGTGTCTATACTGAAATATATAAAAATATAGGATTATATAACTGATATATTATTTTACTGTATACATACTATATAAGTATGTTTAATGTACATGAACATGAGAAAAACATTCAAGATAATAACAGAAAAACTTAAATTCCGTCCTAAACGAGAGACAAAACCTCTCATCATTCCATATATTCACGGTGCGTGTGTCGGGTCCATCGTTGTAGTGAGAGGAGCTTCAACAGTGACTGGGACTTGTGACCCAGGTGTAGATTTAAGGGACCCTATCTAACGCGTTAAACGCTCACCTCCACCGTCCAAGCTCCTCTCTCTACCAAATTTAAATTCTACTAGGGCTGCCTTCTAAGAATGAATTAATGTTAGTTTTGGACAGGCCCAAGTCTTATAGGTTATAGAGATTTAGCCCTTATACTTCTGGCTCCCACTTCTATGTACAAACAGTATTCTATATATATGAGTCACTATACAAGTAATATCTAAGGTCTTAGCCCTAGGGTCTAAGGTCTCACCGTACAGTCGGCTGCGGTCTTCTATAAGGTCCCTGAGGTCTTCTCCTCACAGGAGCCGCAGGTATCGGTACATCATCAGCTGGGATCGCCACACCCGTCCCTAGTGATGGGACGTGGGTCTTTGGAAGACCTGGAAATAACACAGTATGGGTATATAGTTTTTATATTAATTTAGTAAGAAAATTTATAGAAAATGTAAGTTGTATGAGAATTTTTTTATTAGTCTTGGTTAAAATGACTGTAATTTTTTAAGGAATGTTATACTTTGAATCGAATGAATAAAAAATGGACATAGAATAAAGTGTAGTTTTCATTAAGTATAGAATAGCAATGATATATAAATACAAGATAGGTAATAACTTATACTAATTTTTGCTTGCGACTTCGACCGTATGTATTTTGGAGTTAGGCTCAGAGAGAAATATATGGTGTTAATACACAATACAACCAACACATTTGTTTTGCGGAAGTCACACGAAACAATCAAATTACAGCCTATATCCTATTCTGATATCTAAGTTATATTACTGTAAAATTTCATCAAAATCTGATTAGTCATTTTTGTTACAACCACCAACAAACATCTCATAACACTCACTAGTCTGTGGGGCCGGCTGGACCCTAGTAGGTGTGACGCTGGAAGTGTCGAACAGATTCAAGTATGTTCTCTTGCCATCTATAGAGACGAAGCTCTGCTGCCCAGATGCGGAGACTATTATGTCGTCCGCGTACTGTGACCCGTGGTGTACGTGTGTCTGTATGTTCACTGGAGGTCAGATATAATTGGTTATATTAATTAGATCATAATGAAGTTTCTAATTCACAAGACAATGTTAGCCTCTAAACCAGTGGTTTTCAAACTAATTTTGTTTAGTGCTCATATTGAGAATATATAATTTTATAGTGCCTTTAATATTCACTTATTAAGAAAGCACTTTAATATTAAATTAAATTATTATGAACTATAACAAAACCCCATTTTTTTATAGGTGTCTTAGACTTGTTTTCTAATATATCAGTGCAGGTTTAGTTAATTATAAAATATATGAATCAATTCAACAAAGAACAAATATAAGCATAATAAATAACAATGTGCAATACCAAATATATGAAATCAAATCTATGCTGGTTAAATATATCATATATGGCCTACCTGGTCCAGACTTTTCTCCCGGGCCCTGTATAGCGGAGACTGTCACGTCAAATATTTCCCCATATCCTGGTAGTCTATCAGCCGTGATGACTGACGCGTCAGGTCTATGTCTAGACTTGTGGGGCTTGAAGTCTGTGTCGTCTAAGACTATCCCTGGTCTGGGATACGGCTTGTATGGGATACTTTGGGATGCTGGAAGAAAATTACCCAGAGATGTTACAATGGATTTGATTGGGAAGAATGATTGTAGTGGTAAAAATGTTGGTGGCAAAAAAATATGGTGTCTGTAATATGTGATATATGATGATTTTCGTATAGATATTGTTTAAAAAAATCCGTTTTTGTTATAGACTTGGATAGAAATATAGTGTAAGTACTGGAAACAAATATGTAAAACGAAATTTGGGTTGTTTAGAAAACAATAAATAGTTATCATCCATTCTCACTGAAAAATTTTGTTGTGTAACAAAATATCTTTGAATCATAATACAGTTGAAAGAAAGCATGTATTTACATACTTATTCTTCTATGATTGATAAGTAAGTTATATATAAGCGTTAATTATTTTGTATTCAGGTAAAGTATATACATATATTAATGAAATAATTAAAAATGTATAAGAAAATGATTGGTAATAACTCACTTGGTAATGGCTGAGAGTTGATGGAGGAGGTTTCTATGCTTTGTATCTTCGTGGATTCGCTGACTGTTGGCGCGTGGGTTATCAACCCCTCGGTAGGGGTTGGAGAGGAAGTAGACTGTGTAACTGGGGTTGGACTCTCACTAACTGAGGGTTCTATAACCACTTGTGTGATAGTATCATTCTTGATAGGTCTTTCTGTTGATTTATCTTCTATGACTTTGATTTTGTCTTTTAACTTATCGGGACTTAACTGGTCTTTCTTTTTCTCTTTATCTGCTTTAACCGGCTTTTCGATTTTCACCTTTTCTGTAGTAGTCTTCTCGGTGGTCAATTCTGTTGTTGTTTTCGGTGTTGTCGTAGTCGTTGTTGTAGTACTTGTCGTAGTTGTTGTTGTAGAAGTAGTTGATTCTGTTGTAGATGTTGTAGTTTCGGTGGTAGTTGGAATTTCCTCTGTTATATTTCTCATCTCGGTAGTAGTGTCCGGTAGTGTTATGAAGGGAATGTTATCCTCGTGATTTGGAATATCAAAATGAGATTCATTTTCATTGTAACTTTCGTCTTCTTTTTCGTTTATATATGTCATGTCTGGTGGAGGGATGAGTGTTGGTTTATAAACGGGAAGGTTTGGGTTTGGTCTTCTATTGGGATTTGGTGGTCTAGGTCTTCGTTGCCAGGGAGGCATGGGTCTATGAAATCCGGGACGATTACTCATCGGCGGGATCCGATCCGCCAGATTAACCCCGATAGGTCTATCAAAGGGATAAGGCGGAGGTATTTTTGTTGGATGATAAGCAAGCGGTGGTGGGGTTAAAGGTTCGTCGAAATCTGGTGGTCCACGGTTGTTTATTCTGGACGCCATAGGTCTTGGACGACCGTTTAGTAACTGTGTGTTTGCCTGCACATTGACGTTCCCATTCAACAACTTCACAATACCGGTAATTATATTCTGTATCTCACTGTTCTGTCGCCCCTGGTCTTTAAGGGTAGCTGTTGAGAACAGTTGTGGTTGCACCGCAGTAGGCCGGATTTTGGGCCCCGTAGGAGCTAGTGCACGCCCCTTCGGAGCCCTCTTCCCTTCCCCCGGAAACTTAAACTCTAATTTGTCCCCAAACCCTGAGGACATCAACATACCCTCGTCATCTCTTATGTAATCTAGAGTTTTCGTTGGTATGATGTCGTAATACTTCCTCCTATTATGTATTTCTAATTCGTTGTCTATTTCGTTGTTATTCGATGAAGGTACATCCTGGTCGTTAATCGACCTGGAACCTCTACTCGGTTCGACCGATCTCTCAACTATGATATGGTTCTCGGTTTCCAAATCATTTAATATATTATCTGGTTCTACTTCGATGTCGTCATATTTGGCACTAGGTTCTAATTTAAATCCTATGTTTTCTACATGACTCGTTTGCAGGAGTAACTTGTGTGAACCTTCAGCTAGAACTGATTTCGGTGTTAGCTGTGATATGGTGAAGGTCTCTTCATAACCTGGAATTCAGAAAAATTATCTGTTAATAACTATTAAAATAAAGATTGATTGGCAGCTAATGATAGTTTATTTTCTTGGCAATTCTTTCTGTTTCTTCTTAATTCCTAATAAATAATTATGTTGCATAAGTGAAATTGCATAGTTTTACAAATTAAACGTTTTAACTCTTAAAAATCGAGGTTTTCGTCGCAAAGACTATTGAAATTTTCTTTTTAACACTTGCAACTAGAATTTAAATTTTAGCCACAATGAGTGATATCCAAGATTTTCGTGAAAGCACATTCAGATAAAATCGTGTTTATTGATAATTTTTTTTTGTCTGATCACTAATTTAAAATTTTGTTAATTATTTCACGAATCACAACTTTGTACGTTTTAGTAGAAAAAAAAAATAGATTAAAATTGGTTTTATACAAAGAGTAATGAAATTTTATATTTTACACTCGTCTTAAATCACAGAAACACATCACCATTTATTTCGAAGCCGGTTAATAATATTGTCATATGTTATGGAACAATGGCCAAATAGTAATGACATAACAATAGTATGTTATGGTAGCACCATCAAGTGTCAACCACTTTCACTGTCCACGATCGTCGGATGTGGAATAGTTAGAAAGTTATGCCTCTTACTGTGACTCTGCTTTGGACTTTCTGGTGAAATCAATATTGTTTGTCATTGTTTTGGAAGAAATTTTTCGATGAAAGTACGTTACATAAGTTTTAGGTCAAATTTGAGAATTTTATAATTATTAATAATAGTTTAAAACCATCGCAATAAAAAAGTTAATCAATTGTGTACCGTGTTTAGTTTAACGAAACAGAATAGTTGTAAGGTAAATGCTTTATGTATGTATTATAGTATCTGTGGTGGAATTATCTTTTAAAAGCTTCAGTAACTATGTATACAATACTCATAAGACGATTCATGGAAGAAATATTAAGATTTCTGGGAAAAAATAAATCCATTGTCAATAAGTTAAACAAAAAAATATCCATATCCTGTGAGATAAGATATATTTGAATAAGAAGAAAAAAAGAAAACTCAAAATATATGTAGTATACAGTCACAGTAGTCACATTCGAATTATGTAAAAAAATAGGTACTTAATTTTTGACCAAATTTCCGTATAAATAAATAAAGCGTGGACACGTTCCAAGTGTTCCAAGTGTGGAGGCGTGCGGCGGCGTGCTGATACAACACTACGCCGCCACACGTGTGTGTGTGCGTGTGTGTATACCTAATCTGTAGAGTGTTCACACGATGCGTAATTAATTACATAACTTTTGGTTAACTTTACTTAGAAGTTTATTAATATTTATGTTATATTAATTTTTATTTTGTCATATATGATCGTCAAATATCACGTCCTCAAGTATCGATAGTAACTCACCAGTCACCCTGTATATACATGAAAATTGAATAATTATGATACATATTTGAAATTGTTGCAAGAAAAACTGTAGGTAGAAGCTATCTCAAAATAGTGACTTAAAACCTACGTAACGGAAAATACATTCATACCACCTGTCGTGAACGAACCCCTTAAATGTTCAATATACTCGTATAGTGACCACTAAAATTCATATACATATGTATAAAATTATCAATATAACTTTTGTATGTTTCTTTTGATTATATTTTCTTCATATATTCTGTTAAATCTGTTTATTATTCTTTTAAGTCACTGGTGGCCTAGTGGTTAGAGGCCCGCCTCTCGTGCATGAGGGCGCGGGTTCGATCCCAGCAAGTACCAATGTCATTTTTCCGAGTCATATGTACTTTCTAAGGCCTCGGCCTCGAATCTCGCGGGTAGCGGGGCGGCAGCGGCGGCGGCACGGAAACGCATACTATTCTCCAAACTAGCGGGCAACGGGCACGGAGAAATGTATGCGTTTTCGTGCCGCCGCCGCTGCCGCTCCGCTGCCCGCGAGATTCGAGGCCGAGGCCTAAGAGTATTTAGACATCACTGACAGATGAAGGAAAACATCGTGAGGAAACCTGGATCTTAATATCACTATTATAATTTTGATATCACCAACCCGTCTTGAGCAAGCGTGGTGATTAATGCTCAAACCTTCTCCATGTGAGAAATAGGCCTTTACTCAGCAGTGGGCTCTGATAGGCTGATGACGATATTCTGTTAAATGTAATTCATAAATCTCTTTGTAAATGAAACAAAATCATAATTATATACATTATATGCATTACAAACTATAATAACGACGGTACGTGCATTGTAAAAGTATTGACACGATTGCTCAGTTTGCAAAGACTGCGATAATTCCAAAAGTAGCAGGTTCGAACCCAGTTTATTTTTTATTCCATATTACATATATTAAATTTTGTATATTTATCATCGTTATATTTGATATCTGTTCGCCAATAATCAAATCTAACGGGTCGACATACCACAAAGTACAGTTATTTTATTAATATTCAACACAAGTTAACGCCGTTTGTATTGGAACTAACTAAACTTGTTTATAAAAACTTTTCTGTTTGATGCAACTTAAATTTCTTTCTAATATTATGTTTCAGTATATTTTAACTAAACTGTTAGTTTTTTTAATTATTTGTAACAATTTGTAAAATGAGTATGAGGTGATTTATTTATAATATTGGATCTTCTTCTGGCAATTTCCCAGCTTTAGCCAAGGTTTGCCTTACATGTTGTGAATAGTTTTGGCTAATTGTTTTTATGACTTTGTTTTTACGACACGGGTTGGTGATTTCAAACTTATAATTGTGAAATTGTAAGTCCAGGTTTCCTCACGATGTTTTCCTTCACCAGTCAGTTGTGTCTAAATACTCTTATAAAGTACAATGGACTCGGAAAAATCACATTGGTACTTGCTAGGATCGAACCCGCGCCCTCATGCCTGAGAAGAGGGATTTAACCACTAGGACACCACTGACTATTTATAATATTAAATATGTTCTAAGAACTCACTTAAATAGTAGAACATTGAATACAATATATTTAAGTGATCTAGAATAAATCTAGATATCTAGAAATGATCTAGACTAAACAACTATCGATGTAGTTTACTTTATAATTGTTCTTATAATAAAAAAACCGTGGATACAAATCATTGTATTTTTTCTCAAACAACATCTTTCCTACGAAATCAATTGAATTTTTATATTAATATTTTCATGTTAATATTATACAAATAATGACGATTTCAAAATACTTCACAATATTTTTTTCTATTATAATTTCGTCAATCTAAATGCTATTTTAAATAACTATTAAATATAAATGTATGTCTGTCACTACATACAAATTTTATCGTGTCACATTCAATGATTTAACTGACAAACTGTCAGTACGTACGTTACGTGATGTATACTCGTGGTAAGTGTAACTATAAGACAAACAAAAATGAAAGTTTTGTGAAAGGTGTTCGTCTCGTATGCGGGCTGATTCACCTGACACTTGACAGTTAATAATAAGTGTGATTGATAAAATATTATACGAAGTTATGTATTGTTGAAGTTAAATGATGGAAAAAACAATGCTCATCTCTACTAATCCCTACTAATATTATAAATGCGAAAGTATCTCTGTCTGTCTGTCTGTTACGCCTAAACCACTGAAATGATTTTAATGAAATTTGGTATAGAGATAGAATTGACTTTGAGAAAGAACATAGGATAGTTTTTATCCCAGACTTTTGAAAGGTTCTCTTGGAGACGCGATATAACCGAACTCCACGCGTGCGAAGCTGCGGCCGGAAAGCTAGTAAACAATAAAAATAATGAACTCTTTATTTAATAACCAAAGATATATATTTAAAGTTACTTGTAAATTTGTTTTATTAAATATTATTTTCGTGTTTTCTTTTTTAGCAATACTTTTAATAGATGTATTTTATTTAACAAATATTTGGCATTATAATTGAACAGTTTAGTTATTCAATATATTTGTTTATAAAAATAGAATCAAAATTTCAAGTAAGCACAAAATTTTTCCCGAATTGTTACAAAAAACTGTACTAACATTTTGTTGTTTTGAGCGTCATTCATTATGGATAGTAAGAGACAATTTAAAAAAAAATCTTGGATAGCATAACTTTAAGAATATAAAAATAATTCAAAAAGATTTATTTTTTGTTATTTCCTCTTAATAAACTTAAGTTCGGCATCTTTTAAAAAGTAAATAAAATGCAAAATCTTTATCTTTTCCCTATTCTTTCAAGCATCTACCAAATGTATCTACTTTGTCCTGTGTTTTTATACAGGTGCGTATATGTACATATTTTGATAAAAATATACATATAATAATAAAGATCATTAATTGAGTAGCGAAATTAAGCTTAAACGTTGTTACTGAAGAAGTTATTTTTATAATGATACTTAAAAAATTTAATAGTAGAAATACATTATTTTTCAACACTACTATTCATATTAAATTCTGAGCCAACTTTTGAGTACAACTCAAACACTAATGACGTCACAAAAAATCTTATAGTTTTTCTTCAACACATTAGGTATACAATATTTTGTGATACTAAATAAAGGAACTACAAAAAGAACCGAATTGAATAATAATATTATATTAAGTAGTTTGGAGCCAAAGACAATTGAAAAATTCCTCAAAGTCAAATATTTGTGTACCGGAGTAATGATAGGTGATGAAAACTGTTTGTGATAAAAAAAAGAATCAGTAAAAAATTAAAAGCAATATTATTACAAGAAACAGATTTAAACGTGGTAGAGAAATAAGCGAATGGAATACAATTCCATTCATTGAATACATTCCGAGTATTGTAAAAGATGGTTTATTTATTTTTAAATCAAAGCCTTCTTCAGTGGAAATATCAAAGTATCAGAAAGATTTTATTAAGTCACCGTTCTTAATAAGAAAGCAACTCCACATAACCAGGATTACCCAAGAACTGTTCTCTCAGCAAGACTGGGCACTGGTAATAAACAAACTTTTAGAATAATGTAACTGTTTTTACATTTGATACATAAATAAATGGGCTTAATAAGAAGAACTATTTGCATTGAACACTGTAATAAATATTAAATATTTATCTAGTTTTTCTTTCCAACTATATTTCTGTCACGACTAGCATACAGTATAAAGTGTATTATCAATATAATTACTCTTGTTTTAAAGAGTAACTATCTTGAATGTCGCTCTATATAAATTAAAACAAAAAAATACACTGTCAGCCTTCGAAAGTTGATCACATTTAAATGTCGACTTGCTAGTTACTTTGAACTGGAATTAATAATATTATGAAAGGCGTAACAGATTTTAATATAGTTAATACACGCGACTTCATCTATTAATTTATATGGTTTAGTCTTTGTTTTGGTTTGTAAAGTCCCATAAGATGACAATTTCTAATATTATGGATAGAATTATGATACTAATTTTGGTAATTAGATTGATTAATTGAGCTATGAACTTCTCAGACTTTATAAAGTTCCAATAGTATACCTACTAATTTCGAGAACTAGTAGGTCTTAAATTCCTATTATCTTTAAATTGCTATACTGCATTATCTTTATAATTATAACCATATCAAAGTCGTATTGAATAATTAATAGAAAGGTACTTTCGTGGCGGTCGAGGTGACATTGGCCGCATTCCCAAAAACATGTTCGATCTGTGATCTCAATGACTTCCTGGACCCTGGCTGCAGCCTACAGCTGTGACGTCACAGGCAGTATAAAAGACGTGCGGACCGTGAAGAAATCAATCAGTAGCTTACGAGCAGTCTACCACAGAAGTGCACGATGAGATTTCTGGTCAGTTGCATTTATTTAATTAATATTATATTATATTAGTGACGTTCATATGTACTTTCTGAGGGTATTTAGACACCTCTGACATACGGTGAAGGAAAACATCGTGAGGAAACCTGGACTTATAGTTTCACAATTATAAGTTTGAAATCACCAACCCGTCTTGAGCAAGCGTCGTGATTAATGTAACCTTCTCCATGTGAGAAAGAGGCCTTTGCTCAGCAGCGGGCTCTGATAGGCTGATGACAGGACATATTAGTGACGTTCTAGTTGTAGTTATTTTGATCAACTATATCTTCCTACTTGTCTCTTTCCTGTATAATCTCAAACCTTTTTTCTTATGTCTTAATTATAATTTTCTAAACAGATTGTAACCGCCGCCGTCTTCGCCTGCGCCGCAGCAGCCCCATCAGCTCTGCTGGCCTACAATGGCTTGAGCCACGCTGCCCTGGCTCCAGTGGCCGTCCCCACGATCCCTCCTGGCGACCTCCAGGCCGCTGCCATTGACGCCCATGTAGAAGCTTCCGACAACGCACGCGCCGCAGTCGACGCTATCAACCAAGTCCAGGACCAAGCCTCCGAGCTCCAAGGCAGAGCTATCAACGCTGCTGAAGACCACGCCTGGCAAGCTGTTGATGCTGTTCAAACCGCTCAAGCTCAAGTTGACGGTGCTGCTGCCAGCATTGCTCCCGTTGCTGCCCGTCAAGTAGCCGGCAGGAGTCTTGTAGCTCCTATCGTACCAGCTATTGCTGCCTACTCTGCCCCAGCCGTAGCAGCTTACTCTGCCCCCGCAGTCGCTGCCTACTCTGCCCCAGCATTGGCCTACTCTGCCCCTGCCTTGGCCGCTTACTCTGCCCCAGCCGTAGCTGCCTACTCCGCCCCAGCCGTCGTCGCCGGTAGCCAATCTATTTCCAGCCAATCGCTATCCCAAAGCCACCCAGCGCCAGCCCACGCCGTCCTCGCTCATGCGTGGTGAAACCAGTAACATAATTTAAAATCTAGGCAAGATGTGCGAATAAATTTTATAGAAAATTGCCTTGGAACTTTTATTTTCTCAACATATATCTTCTACCTGGTAATTTCCTAACTTTAACCAGGGTCTGCCTTACATGTTGTGAATAGTTTTGACTAATTGTTTTTACGACCGGCCGCCTGACTGACATCGACCCTATTAGGGAATGCATTAATCAGTGATGTCTAAATACTCTTAGAAAGTACATATGACTCGGAAAAATCACATTGGTACTTGCCAGGATCGAACCCGCGCTCTCATGCATGAGGGGCGGATCATTTAACCACTAAGCCACCACTTTATTTCCTCAACATATATGACTACATAAATGTAAAAGGATTTATACACCTTAGTAAAATATTACCTTTTCTCTTACTTAAAACTAAAAGAATATCTATAAAGCCTACTTATACAGATCACTCAACATAGCCAGATAGCAATCACGGATCAAATAATAATGAACTCAATGTCCGTCAAGGATAGCACCAGTTGATAAGTAAAAGTAGTTTTTGTTTTTAAATCAATCGAGGTTGTTGAAAGAGGACAACATTGTATCAAAACTTACGAGGACTTACAAATGTTTTATTGTTTTTTTAATATTCTTATAAAATTGCTTCATGAATTAAATTAATTAATAATATTTAAAATTCAATGTACATATGTTTTTTGATTTGTAAGAGGGAAGAAAGTGTTTTTTATTTCTTCTGTCAGTGATCATGGTTGTTGAAAAGTAATAGAAACGTTATCAGAATTTAAAAACATCAATTTTTTGTCTATTAATTAACGCGGTTCAAATATAACTATAGTTATAACAGTAAAAATAAATAAATATAATATAGAGTAGCAGGTTAATATCTAAACCGAGACTCCTCAGTTATAATTACAATTATTTGTATTTCTTTTATGTTGTTTTTGTTACAAAATGTATTCATATAAGAAACATAATATAGGTAGATATATGAAATCTTGAGTTTGAAAGTACATATTTATTATTATAAATTACAGATAATCAGTACACGATGCATGAGGGCGTGGATTCGATCCTGGCCCTGGCAAGTACCAATGTGATTTTTCCGAGTCATATGTACTTTCTAAGAGTATTTAGACATCACTGATTAATGCATTCCCAAAGAGGGTTTATGTCAGGCAGGCGGCTGACGTAAAAACAATTAGCCAAAACTATTCACAACATGCAAGGCAGACCCTGGTTAAAGCTGGGAAATTGCCAGGTAGAAGAAGAAGATTCAGTACAATCAGAATTTCAGTGTAAAGAATAAAATACTTTACATTTCATACTGAAGATTTTCTCAACATAAATAGTAATATAAAGTATGTACCTAGTAATGTTTTAAATTAATCCAAAACTATTTTTAAATAATAAAAACTTAATAAACACCAAACGATATACGTGATCGTGAAATTTAATTTCAATAAAATCATCCATTTATAGAATGATAGTAAATTATAATAAAGGTTCATTGACCCCCGAATCCTTGAGATTTGAACGTGACGCAGCATCCAAATAGTTTTGTTAATAGTTTCAACAAAAAATTATGAATAAGTTATTTCATTTATAATCACTACGAAATCTTGAGCCCTCTTATAAATCAAGCATTTATATGAATTTATAATATTATATTAATTTGCCTACATTTATCTGTTTATGTGATAATTGTCTTTTGTATTTAAAAATAGTCATTCAGATTTTCATAAATTGTCAATTAATTTCAATATAAAAAAAAATTATATTTTCGGATTACCACAGGTATTTTATTTTGTTTAAAAACTTTATATTTTGCAGCAACCGTGATCACGAAAATGAGATCTCGTCTCAAAACATCGGGAGTATGTAACTACATATTTTAAAAATAATAATTTAAATTCTCGCCAAAGTCTTATATTTCGATTATTATTAGCCTATCAGAGCCTATTGCTGAGTAAAAGACTCTTCTCACATGGAGAAGATTTGAGCATTAACCACCACGCTTGCTCAAGACGGGTTGGTGATTTCAAACTTATGATTGGAAATTATAAGTCCATTTTTCCCTACAATGTTTTCCTTCATCTGTCAGTGGTGTCTAAATACTCTTAGAAAGTACATATGACTCGGAAAAATCACATTGATACTTGCCAGGTTTCAAACCCATGCACGAGAGGCGGGTTTAACCACTAGGCCATGACGACCTATATATATTTCGATATATTGTCTCAAATATATTTTTTTATTATGAAATCTCCTGAGGATATTAAAGTGTGAAGTAGTCGCCCTAATGATGTTCCATTAGATCAATACACATTATAAAAGTATTCAGTGGCCTACATGACAGCGGACCGTGCATGCTTTCTTATAGCCGTTCAGCTACATATACATACATAGGTATGATTAAAACATATCAAATTACTCCATTATAGAAAACTTCAATATGAATTAATAAAAAAACTAGATTATTATTATGAAAATCTAGCTGACCCGGCACAGGTTGTTTTGTCATATAAAAATATGGGTTGGTGATAAAAAAAGTAAAGATTTTAGGTTGTACGTATTTTTTAATGCTACATTATAAAAAAATAAAAACAAATAATTTTGTCCGAAAATAAAAATTTAGGGTGAAGAACCCTTATGACTTAGGGGTATGAAAAATAGATGTTACTCAATTCTCAGAGCCAGTCAATATGCTCACAAAATTTCATTAAAATCGGTCCAGACGTTACGGAGTTCTCTGTCTAACACGACACGAGAATTTTTTAAATATAGATAAGAAATCGTGTATATTGGAGGGTAGTTTGTATGAGAATTAAAACGTACTATCAAAGATTATGTGGGTTTATTTATCTTAAGTAATTTTTCTACTATAGTATCATCATCATCAGTCTATCAGAGCTCACTGCTGAGCCTCTTCTCACATGGAGAAGGTTTGGGCACTAATCACCACGCTTGCTCAAGACGGGTTGGTGATTTCGAACTTATAATTGTGAAACTATAAGTCCAGGTTTCCTCACGATGTTTTCCTTCACCGTATGTATATATAGTATACTCACCATTAATGACTTGTATTAAGAGGGCGAACAACGCGCCGAGCCCCATCCACCACCTTCTCTCCGCCATATTGTTGTCAAGTCAACTGCGGCCCATCCCAGCACTGACACCACTTACAACTCCTGGCTCACATGTGTCGATATTAACTGAAACAATATACATAGTATTAATAATATTAATTTACATATAGAACAATTATATTGTATTGTCAGTGGTGGCCTAATGGTTACAGGCCCCACCTCTCGTTTCCGAGAGCGCGGGGTCGATCCTCGCCCGGGCGAGTACCAATGTGATTTTTCCGAGTCATATGTACTTTCTAAGAATATTTAGACATCACTGATTAATGCATTTTCCCAAAAGAGGGTTGATGTCAGGCAGGCGGGCCGGTCGTAAAAAACAATTAGAAAAAACCATTCATAACATGTAAGGCAGACCCTGGCTAAAGCTGGAAAGTTGCCAGGTAGAAGAATATAGTATATGACTAGTGGCTTATATTAATTTATGTATTTACAACTATATTTTTTCCATTCGTTCATTCATTTAATCAGTCATTCATTTATAAAGGTTCTTTCATTCACATCATGTACCTACTTTTAATGACCCAAAAGAATTAAGTTTTTAGGATAACGCCGCAATCTGTATGAAATCTTTTTTATATATTTTCTTATCCAAAATAAATAATACGCAAATGTATTATAATTATGGATAAATGAAATGTCAGTATGAAAGTTTGTTTGTATTTTTAATGCTAGCTCTTAACATGAAAAAATATACGTTATTTAAACCAAATAAAAATTATTTTATAACAGCATTTAAACAAATTTATTGCTTATTTTATTTATCGATTACTTTTCAGCAACCGTGATTACGGACAGACATGATGAAAATGTCCAAGTTGTAAAAGTGAAAAATATATCTAAATGTGTACACGACAAAACCTAGGATATAATTTTAAATATACCTCTATCATCATCTACAATATATAAATTAAATATGTATTTATAATTTTTGATATAATCAGTATTATATATATAAATAAATATATAATTTAAATATATTATGTACTAAATTTTGTATTGTATAATTAAATCTTCTTAAAACACTTTATTATTATATTCAATACATAAAAAAGATTATATAATAAATATTGGTAATATTTAATTATAACCCAATAAAATATATGATGCGAGAACAAAAACAAATAATTTTAATTATTGGCTCTAACGATTTGCAGCTCTATTTGATAGAACATAAGTAATTAATTCGCGTATCAATTTAATTATATTTTTATAACACAAAGAGGGTTGATGTCAGGCAGGCCGGTCGTAATATCAATTAGTCAAAACTATTCACAACATGTATGGCAGACCCTGGCTAAATCTGGAAAATTGCCAAGAAGAAGAACACACGTAACGTGTTACTGAAAATTTATAATTTTTTCGTATATTTGTAGGTACATACATACACACATCTATTCTAAGCAAATTTTATTGTTATTTAAAATTTAGTTCCAATAGCATCGTATAAGGAGAACAATCGGCAACTGCCAGTAGAATAAGAATATTGACACACAAAACTAACTCCGTTGAATAACAAAATATTACGGTATATATTGAATCGAAAGGAATCCTTAAACTTACTACATGTTCGTCTCGACAAACTACGTACTGACAGTTACAAGTATTTTCATTAATATATATATAACTAGCTTTCCGCCTACAGCTTCGCCCGCGTGGATTTCGGTTATGTCGCGTTTCAAAGAGAACCTTTCAAAAGTCTGGGATAAAAACTATCCTATGTTCTTTCTCAAGGTCAACTCTATCTCTGTACCAAAATTTTATTAAAACCAGTTCAGTAGCTTAAGCGTGAAAGCGTAACAGACAGACAGACAGAGTTACTTTCGCATTTATAATATTATTAGTAGGGA